ATGTGTCTGCCTGCCCGTCTGCTAATGACAATATTCAATACACAATTTCAATCACTGACCACATGCAATTTGAACTTAACACCTATCAGGCTATACACCATAAACAAAACGCATTGATTTATGGCCCGAGTTCGGTCTCTGTCACATCATGTAATTACACAGACAGGCAGGTGTGATACTTATACACATGACATGTTATGATGTCTGTTGATTGCAAAATGTTATACACAAACAATAAGCATGTATTTACGAAACCCATCAACTCTATATATACACACACAATGAGCCGTGAGGGCATCTGCAAAGGAACCAGCCGTTACACTTGAGTGCACACCCACCCGCCCTGACTGGGTTCGGTATCCCAGCTGCTTCGTTTCTTGGGAAGTAAACCCAAGTACAAAATATTGCACTTTTGATTTGCGATTGTACGCTTATAATTTTGATTTTATGTTTTTTCATAACCAGCAATGTATATTATATGTCATGAATAAGTGATAATTGTGTTTCAATTATGTTTGATTTTTTGGTTGCATGTGACCTTTAAGATACATGAGAACAACCCTTTGTTTAATTGTCTTTCCCGTCTCTTTCATTACAAAACCAGAGCCAAAAGGACTAATTAACTAATTTATTGCCTACTCTATTACCTACTCTTTTTCAAATACTATTAACCAAGAAAGAGGTCGGGGATATTGGAAATTTAATACGTCTTTATTGTTACAACCAGAATATAGTGAACTTGTTAGATCCATATTAAAGGACACAGTTGAAGAATATTCAGATATTGATGTATATGATGAAAATGCTAATGACCTTAACATAAAACTTAAGATTGATGATAGTTTATTTTTAGAAACCTTCCTTATGAATGTTAGGGGAAAATCAATTTCATTTTCAACCTTTCTAAAAAGGAAAACCATTGATAAAACCACAGAATTAGAAACTAAAATTAAAGACTATGAAGAATCAATAAGAAAGGACTTTCAAACTATAGATGAAAATTTATTATCTGAACTTGCAAAATATAAATTTGAACTACAACAAATTAAAGAAGATGAAATAAGGGGTATACAGCTCAGAAACAGAATTTTATGGTATGAAGAGGGGGAAAAGCCAACCAAGTATTTTTGCAACCTAGAAAATAGAAATTATGTCAGCAAATCAATTAATAAGATTGTCACAGATAACAATGACGAAATTACTGACAGCTTTTCTATCTTAAATTAAGTAAAAACATTTTACAAACAACTTTACTCTTCTGGCAGGAAATATGAGGATGATACTTGTTTACAAGATGTGGTAACTCCCACTTTAACTGGCCATCTTAGAAACAAATTAGAAAAAGATATTGACATGGAAGAAATAACATTGGCTGTTAAACATATGAAAAATAACAAAAGCCGTGGTGTAGATGGATTTCCAATAGATTTCTTTAAATATTTTTGGAAAGACCTTAAATATTGGATCTATAGATTTATTAAAGAATTTTTTAATAAGAATCAAATGTCTTTCACAATGAAAAGAGGTGTTATTACATGTATACCCAAGCCAGATAAAAACAGAACCCTTTTAAAAAACTGGAGACCAATAACTTTATTGAATTCACTGTATAAAATAGTAATTACTTGTATTTCTAATCGTTTAAAAACAACCCTGTACTCTCTTATACATGAAAATCAGACTGGTTTTATACCTGGTAGAAATATAAGCGAAAACACAAGATTACTCTATGACATTATGTTTGAGACAAAAAGAAGAGACATCCCAGGTTTATTAATTTTGATCGATTTTGAAAAGGCTTTTGATACTGTCTCTAAAGATTTTATAAATTTGGTATTAAAAAAGTTTGGTTTTGGTTACCAAATTATTAGGTTGATAAATATCCTAACCTATAAAACAACTTCTTGTGTTATTCAAAATGGACATCCCTCAGAATTCTTTTCAAATGAACGGGGCTGTAGACAAGGGGATCCGTTATCACCATATCTTTTCCTTTTTGTAGCTGAAATCCTTGGATGCATGATAAGACAAAATGAAAATATCAAAGGTGTAGTAATTGATGATACAGAGTATAAATTAGGACAACATGCAGATGATACTGAGTTGTTTTTAGATGGTACAGAAAAATGTCTATATTCTGCTGTTGATGCAATTAATACTTTCTATAGGATGTCAGGACTAAAAATAAATATTGATAAGACTAAAGCTATCTGGATTGGATCTAAAGCAGGTTGTGGTGATAAACTATGTCAGGATTTGAATATTGAATGGCGAAAAAATGAATTTGTTGTTCTGGGAATTATACTTAATGCTGAACTGAAGGATCTATGGATCATCAATACAAAGAAAAAACTAGAGGAAACTAGCTATGTCAAAATTAGTTCATATTTGCAATACTTTACCTAACCCACCCCAAGATTTTGTTACCTCCCTTGATAAAATATTTTTCAAATTCATCTGGACTGACAAAACTGACAAAATTAAGAGAAGTACCTTGAAAAAAGATTATATACATGGGGGTTTAAGAATGATCGACATAAAAACCTTTATCAATGCCTTGAAACTATCCACTTTGAGATTTTATTTAAGAAAATCATCAATATGTAATCCATGCAATTTTCCGTTACATGATATCATGAAATTTGGTGCTAATTTCTATAATATTGCTGATATTCATAATCCATATTGGAAAGATGTTTTAAAAGCTTGGAACATGTATTGTACTAACATTACCATAGAGGAAAACAACATTGATGAAATTTTAGCACAGCCATTATGGTTTAATCATAATTTTAAATACCAAAATCATTATATCAGTCATTGGGCAAATAAAGGACTATTAACCATCAAAGACATGTGTGATGAAGAAGGTTTGATGTCTTTGTAATCTTTAAAAAGTAAATATGCAATAAAAGGGACAGAATTAGATCATAGATATGTTCTAAATAATATACCTGAATCATGGAAAAATACAATAACATATCACAGGTGTATAAATAACTATGACATGAATCTTAACTCCTATCAAAAGAATTTTATGAAATCATTACAAGGATCAAGATTATTTTATGATATATTGTTATTTAACAATAATAACCCTCATATGTGTCATAAATGGGAGAATGTGTTTGAAGATACTGACTTTGATTGGCCAATGATTTTTAAGTCTTACAGACAAGACATTTATGATGTAAAACTCTTAGAGTTCCAATATAAATTTTTACACGGTATTATCTATACCAAAAGGAACTTTTAAAATGAACCTTATCCAGAGCCTCATGCAGCTTTTGTAAAGATGAAGATGAAAACTTGTGCCATGTTTACTGGGAATGTAGTGAAACTAAGAAGTTTTGGAAGGATCTTCAAATTTGGATTAACACTTATTTGATACAAAAAGTCAATTTGACAAAATATTTGGTGTATTTTGGCTCCTTAAGTAAAAACCCCTTACTTAATCATATAATCATTTCAGCAAAAAGACAGATCTATGTCTCTTCTTTGAAAAACAACATTCCAAAATGCGATAACTTTATAAAGACTTTAAAAGATATTTTTTCTGTTGAAAGCTTCATTGCCAAAAGGAAGAATAAAATGAAGAAATTTGCTAATAAATGGCATCCATTATTCCCAGTATTTCAAACCTGACCTGTGTATGCAGCAACCGCTTCTTTTGTAAAATCTTGATCTGTTTCCCCTTTTGAAGAATTATCATTGTTTTAGTTATATATTGACTAGTTAGTTAATGGCACTGGTGTAACTTTGGGAACACATATTATAGGTTGGATATATGACACAATATACAACACAATAAGTCGGATGTTGCGCAATATATAACACAACACATTGGATGTGACACAAAACACAGCAAGACATGTCAGAATAATTGTGGCACTATATACAACACATGTTAGATAAGACATATTTACAATGTATATCACATAATACACTATGTACAACATGATAGATTGGCCATGACACTATATACAATATGCTATGTCGGGTGTTGCACTATATACAGTATGATATGTCAGATGTGGCGCTATATACAACGTGGTATGTCAGATGTGGCGCTGTATACCAAATAATATGTTGAATGTGTATGCAATATACAACATGATATGTTGGATGTGACACAATATACAGCTTGATATGTCAGATGTGGTGCTATAAACAATATGATATGTTCATATATGATGCTATTTACAACTTGACATATGGGATGTAATACTATATACTTATGATATATCAGATATGACAGTATATACAACTTATGATGGAAGACTTTACTTTTTCATGAAAATAAAAAAAAATTGATAAAAAAAAAACCTAAAAAAAACCAACTAATTTATTGCAAAAGGTGCCACATGCTAGATGTGACTGTGAGGGTACATGTCAAGTGAATAAGTGCAGCTAATATATAAGGTGCAGATACTTGGTAAATGCCATTCCTTGGTAATGATGCAAATTACTGAATGAAATATATATTTTCTCAGGCAAACATTGCACTAGGCTAGCCGAGAGCAGTGAAAGGGTCCTACAGTCAAGACACTAGACAAAATCTTAGTCTCTGAATACATATAATGTTCATAGTAACAAATAAACAATTTAAATTGAAAAGGTGCCCTAGTGAGATGGGAAAAATTCAGAGGAAATTTGGACTGGCTTCGTTTGGGGCTTTAGCACTGCAGGGAGGGCTAGACTGTAGGGAAAATATTGTGGTTCTGGGACTGTGAGACAGGCTATCAAGGCACGAGCCTAAGATACTGTACGTGTCTTGACTGTCGTACCCATTCGCGCCCTAACTAAACATTGCACAAGATTATGCAATATTATTCGTGGTTCAAAACGTAGCAATATTGGTATATGTTGCTAACTGAGGTGACAATTACGTCATTTCAATTTTGAGTCTGTGCATATCAGCAGAAACATGTGACAACTGACAGTGACAGTGACATGAATGTAGGACTGATGCAGCAATGACCAGTAGATTGTCAACTCACCAGTGTAACCCAACAATAGCCCCGACTCCGACTAGCACGAGCTTGTAACCTGTTGGCAGTTCGACAACTAACTTATACCCCTCTCCTGTCTTCTCTTTTATGATGTCAACTGTCTCCTGCGACAACAACCTCTCCATCGTCGACCACAACCTGTCCATCGCTCACAATTTCCTCAAACTGTCCTAAGATGTAAACAAAGGCAACAGCAGAAAACGGCAACACCCACAAAGGTAGAAACCTCGTGTACAAAACGGCAATCGATTTAACCCTCGCGCAGCAACGGGACTTTATGTTCCCTCGCCATATATCCCAATCCCTTGGTGCAACAGGTCCATATTTGGACCCCAGAATAAAGCTATATTTAGCATCGCGGAATCAAAATCATATCGATCATCACCCAATCATTTCACCTTCCGTACAGTATGATTCAGAGAGAGTTAAGGGTGGCCATATATGGTGAGGTAAGTGAAGACTTCTCGACCATAGGCGCCCGACTCTGATATGATTATAAGTATGACCTATATATATAAGATATAAGAGAATATCTTATATCATATTCTCTTATATCTTATATATATAGGCAGCGTTGCAAACTCCCGCCTGCCCGACCGTCCGGGACGGTCTGTTTTGCGACCGGACGGTCATTTTTAAAAAGTTGCACGCCCGATGGTCTGGCTGTTGAATCAGCGTAATTTTGTAATGTATATAATGACTAAAAACATTTAAAAACGTGTTATTGTGACAATAACCTGACATTAAACAGTTCTCTCCTCCTATTTACCTCCTTTATATTTTATCTTAATCCTGAAAATTCTTGACTGGTAACTTTCCAGCCGGTCTGATAACTTTTGAGAGTGACCAGACCAGTTGTCTGGCCGAAATTTTGGGGAGTGTACAACACTGATATAGGTCATACTTATAAATGTATCAGAGTCGGGCGCCTATGTTCTCGACACCTTTCTGCCAGGTTTCAAACGAATGACGGCGAGTTTTCATTACAATCCAATACATACTGTCATGACGAATAATTCAGTATTATTGCCCATGTTTCACAACTATATAAAATCAGGGAGACTCTATGTAGAGTATCCCTGATAAAATGTTCTCGGATTCACTCACACACCCTAATTATTTAGGTAATGGGAGTTGTCTACTTTACGGTACTGTACTATATGCTGGCGATTAGGTGCCTGACTCTGAGGGTGTGGGTTCGAATCCCGGATGGGACTCAACCCAACAAAAGTGCTAGAATTTGTACTCTACTAAGAAAGTGTAATCACAAATATAACGTATATTACAAGTGTATATAATTCTGTTTCCTTCTCCAACTTACATGAGAAGGAAGAAACTTGGTACATGTTTAGCCATGTCCTTTCCCATTTGCATCATGGATTTTATTAAGAGCAACAGCATTTGAAAATAGCATTTGAAAAACGCATGTACAGTATGTACGCAAGTCTGTTATTGATCCTGTGATTTATGGTCATAATTAAACATGTCACACAGATAATAAACAGTTGTTGTGACATTTTTCCTGTGACTTTTTTTCCTAGCCAAAATTGTGACTTTTTGTCAGTAACTTTTTTTCCTTGACTTTCTTTCCGATCACCTATTTAACTCCTAACAGCATACAGTCTGGCGAATCCTGCAGCGTTATAATTTTGATATACAGCGCTGCTAGGAGCTTGCCGTCGAGTTACCCGTTGCTCTCAATTAGGCCTTGGGAGAGATAACGACCTAGTGGTAAAAAGTAATAAATATTGTAAATACATTAAGGGAAGTTTAGTTTTCAAACCTAGTCAACATTAACACAATGTTTCCTCAACATATTTGCAACTTTCTTGTTTAGCAGTTCAGGGTCCATTTGCCAGTGATCATCGACACAAATCCCCAACTAACATCACGTAAATAGGCCAATACTGGCCCAGAATAGTAAGAAAATCAGGCCCATTTACAGGCCTACCAAAGAAAAAACCGAATTGCGAGGGAAAGCATAGAAATGTACACATTAAGACGCGAATGTGCATACAAACATAGCGATGCGGAATCGAAAGCATAGAAACTGCATAAAAATACGACGATCTGCAACTTTAAAGAATCGAGGACGCGTTCCGAAAGACTCGAAGTGCATCACGCCGACTGCACATGCGCAGTAACCCAAGCGGAAGCAAAACACGCCACATAGCTAATGCTGTCAAGGTAAGTTTTTTTCTTGTATAACTCATAAACGAAATGTTATTTTAGCAACTCAAGTTGACTTGTTAATTCTATGACTATCCATATTTGTTTGACTCGCGACTACGTGTCATGTTAGTCGACAGATTATTAGAATATGGTTCGTGAAAGTATGCAGGCGGTGACATTGTTGAATTCGGCGGGTTTATTATTTGATTTAAGGCATTCCGGAACTGGGCCTGTACTATTTTGCACATTGGCATTGAACTGGGCCAGTACAGGCAAAGAATTACTGGCCCAGTACACAGCCGCAACGGTCGCAACTTGGCCCTTTACAGTTTGGCCGGCACTGGCCCGGTTAAGTTTATACAGTTTCTACTAATTAATTTTTATGAAGTATTTTCACATTTTCATTTACTTTTGATTCAATCTTTCTACGTTGTCCAGTATGACATTATTATCAAACAATACCATAATTTAGGTCGTGTATTGAAATTATGTCAACAGGTTTTCCGTGATCCAACAACATGACATACATACTGAATGTTTTAAAATGCCCTTCTCCCAGCGAAATTCTTATTGTTATTGTTCAAAATTCAGCTCAACACTTACTCTTAGTTGAAAAAGTAATCACTGTAACTTATTCACAACACATACCATCACTTTTTAGTGTCACATTAAGTCACTTTACATTCAGAAATGTGGAAAATGTCACACTCTACCTTTTGGCCACCTCTCGAGCAGACGACATGGTCCTGAGATATTCTCCCACAATTCACCACACAGGAAGCGAACTGCCTTGTACTGGGCCGGTACGGTATCGCCGTGCAGTATTTACGGTAACCGCGGTACGGTACGGTTTTGCCGGTAATGGGCCACTTACTGAAAACAAGCATTGGTCCAGTACTGGTTCTACACTGTCGCACATTATGCCTGTACCATTACCAAATTTTACAGTATAATTACAAAACCGCGACAATGTCACGTCTTGGATTATATATGTAATAGGTGCCTAGCGCGAGTGGTGTAAAATAGACGCCCAGTGACAGCAGAACGTTGCGGATCGATGTATGAAAAGTGTCAGTTGGCTACTGAGATGTTATGCTTTGAGTTGTGTTTTTAGAATTGGTCTCTTGGCGTGGTCAGTGCATCTTGTCTGCGGGTTCTGTGTGAGTGATTCCTGACAGGTTTTCACAACTTAAACTCAATGAAAGCAGCAACAAAAGAGTATTATGTTTCCATTCTTGTTTATTAGAAAAATAAATGAATGAGACAGTTAAATCAAAGCCAATATTCAGAACAAACAATCCTAGGATTTATCCCCCTCCCAACCTACCTAAATCCTACTCAAAATACAATAAACTGATTATGTCCACCCCTTATGCCTACTCCCGAAAATAACAAGATAAAACCTACTTATTCTTATGCTATTTCTCCCCCTTCCCAAGCTATCACTAAATCAACACGACATTCCCTAAAAACAATAAGTGGAAACTTAATCTGGTCTTGATACATGACTCGCGGTGGCAGAGAACTTACCCGATGCGGGTATCGGACGACTGACGATGCCCTACCTAGGGTAGGCTTATATAGTCGACATCGGACCACGTGACTGGGGAAATCCAGAATTCGGCCAATGGGCACGCTCCTTGCATCTCTGCCCCTCAAGATGGCGGAGCATGCAAGAAGCGTGACATCGTCCTGTCTGCCCAGCCACGAGGTCCGCATGGGCCTAAGCTTCTACATATAGGACTACAGAGTAGGTACTACGTCAGCTGCCCACCCAACTACCTAACCTACCCCACCCGCTATGAAGCTATTATATTAATTTAATATTTAACCCCCGCGACGCCCACATATACATTGGTACCTTTGAACGATTCTGTTATTATATTATCCTTTCCGGTCTCTTTATTTGACTCTCGTATCTTAAAGTTGTTATTGGGAAATGCATAATATTACATGCGTTAAATCAGTGTTTTCGTTCCCTGTTTTCTCTCACGTGTCAACTATACATGTCTTTACATCCTGTAAATGTCAGATCGGGAAAATGTCCTTTAAATGAATAAATACAATATTGTATCCCGCCTCATTTCAGTAACATTTTTGACACATCGATAAGGAATAACTGTTTAAGGGTGTACAAGAACGGATGCCTTTGTGTTGCCTTTGCTTTTACTAAACCTTATCAATCATCTTTCCTTTTTTTTGAAAACTCCACACTCATTGTGGAAGCATGCTTTTTGTGTGTATTCGGCAAGGTTATATCATGATTTCTCCCGCAGGACACGGCGCACTTCATACATGTGTATGTCATATGGCAATTCCGTACTAAAAGCTTTATCAGATAGGCTTAAAATGTCCTTTATGACGAATTATACAGAAATATTTCTTCTTCGTTAATACAAAACACACTTTCTTGACTTACTGCATTCCACACTAACGGAAATACCAGTAGTACACAATGAAGCGGTCGTAAATGGCCATAGTTGTCACATAAGAAGCTTTATATTTAATGTCATACTGATGATTAACGATGGTGTCTGCGAATGCTATCACCTCTCTTGCCGATAAATGGGATATGCCCTAATCCGACTCTTGTCATCAATCGCCACAATACAACCTATCAAATCCACTTTTCTTAGCCATCCAGATGTTCGAGGTCGTCGCCGTCGACGTCTACGGGGTCCGGTTCACAGCTAGTTTGGGCATGATCAACACCTCCACGTTTGACACATCGTGTACAAGATTAGGTTGATGTTAGTTTGTTGTTTAACGCCACAGTTAGCAATATTCCACCTATACGCCGGGATTAGTTTATGCACAAATCCATTTCATAACAAAGTGACAGGATTAACTGTTTATATATTTTCGGAGTTGTTATCTTTAGTTTTAATGAATTGTATGTTTTTAACATTATATACTTCACTCTTCAGCTTTCCTAAATCTCTATTTCAACTTACGGCCTGAGTATTCAGCCACAGCCTAGCGGCGTAAAACTAATCTCACTCGGTTATTAACGTTGTCAGCTTATTTTCTCCAATTTAAAGGTTTCAGTTTAACTACAGTTTATGTGACATTTGATGATATTGTCGGCTTGTCATAAAGTACTTGTGGACTTTATGTGACTCACATTTGGAATTCATCGTTCATTCTGGATTTTTTTAATTCACTTCTAAAGGTTAGTTTCTTCTGATGTTTTAAGGGCGGTAGGGTAGCCTAGTGGTTAAAGCGGTTGCTCGTCACTCCGAAACCCGGGTGCGATTCCACACATGGGTATAATGTGAAGCCAACTTCAGGTGTCCTCCGCCATGATATTGCAGGAATATTGCTAAAAGCGGCGTTAAACCATACTCACTCACTCGCTGTGCTATTTTATAGTTTCTACACATTCATGCGATACATAGAGATACTTTTGACAATTTGGCTGTTTTGTCATGTACATATTTGATAGTTCCTGGCCATTGGTTGTGTGACAGTATGTTTATGCATAGTACAATGCATTATATGAGAATACTTATGTACGTAAGGTAAGTGCCATGTTCACGCATGATATATCATTGCCTAGCCTTGCTCCAAGGCTGAAGTGAATGCTGAACCCATGGATGTATATAAATGGTATCCTTTAAGAGGGAGGGGCGGTGGGGTAGCCTAGTGGTTAAAGCGTTGGCTCGTCACGCCGAAGACCCGGGTTCGAATCCCCACATGGGTACAATGTGTGAAGCCCATTTCTGGTGTCCCCCGCCGTGATGTTGCTGGAATATTGCTAAAAGCGGCGTAAAACCAAAACTCAGTCAGTCCTTTAAGAGGCAAGTCTAGATAAGCGGACAGTAAGGACGCCAGTCTGTAAATTATTTATATTCATATTCATATTCTATATTCAGACATACATTATGTGTTAAGATGTTAATTCAGTGAATGAATCACAAAACAGTCGTTCACAAAACGTCATTTTATTACAAACATACAAAATAACATGCATGTAAAAGTACATCAAATACTATTTTACAGTATTAACACATCAAATACTATTTTACAGTATTAACACACACGCATAAATGAATACAAATCGTGTGTGTAAAGAGAACATTTTTCGTTGCAACACGTTTCACTCAAGTTATACCCTGTACGTCCAATTTCAATAAAACTGTGTCTAAAGTTCTACGTATGGCTGGATTGTTGGAACACTCAGGGGTCAACCAGGTTGGATGTGTTGTTCAGGTGACATGACGCATTTAGGTCATGTTGCTACAAAGGAAATATGAACCCCGGTCAAAGGTCAGCTGGAGACCTCAAAGCCGTAAACATTAGTGAGCTTCCTGTCCGTACCGGAAGTTGACGAATGATGGTCGAAGCTTGTGTGTAAATGAACCAGTTCTAGCCACAAGCCCAGCTTGAACACACTTGTGGTAACAACAAAGGTTGTAGCCAATAATATGATAACACTAATAATAATTACGTTTTTTACCATCTTGAATTTGTATGGTTTGGAAGGGAAAACGTGTGGCCAAATGGTATATTCAAAGTGCAGAATTGTGTCCCTTAGAATTCCGGAATGGTGGGTTCGACTCCCAAGATTTAACACTGATCGTGTTTAACCGAAGTGGTAACGGTCAATGACTCGCATGTCAGTCGCGATAATAATACTCATGATTATGATGATGATGATGATTATGATGATGATAAACTATGTTGATATCGCGCATCTTTTGCTATACAATGAGTTTGTGGAATGTCAAAATGAGTGTGTTTTGATTATTTGAATAGAAGTTTCAAGATTCTTCAAAGAGTCATTTTACTTCATATCTACATTCTAAAAATGGTTTTGCAAAAGGAAGATTTTCACAAGCGTTAGAGCAGCCCAGGATCATCCATGGTGATATTATGTAATATTTTGTTGGTGATTGTCACAGTGATGTTCGGCACAGATGGAAGACGAAGAACGTGATCTTGCGTGATGTTTGCAACGTTTTCAGTTTAGGATCCGAGCTTCCAAGCTTCATCAAGCTGATACATTGTGATGTACTGAAGTACTGTTCAAAACGTCTTAAATCCAACTCACTCACTCACTCACTTGCTGTTGAGTACAATAACCTCAAACTCGCAGGATCAAAGCAAGAGTCACGACTCTGTGTCATCTTCCGTCGGCCTTCGAGATTTCACGGAAACAGGCGATCAGTGGCGGAAGGAAAAGAGCACTGTCAGGCCGCACATGAGGATAGTGTTGAATGATGTTGTAAGGTGGAGTGATGGTTGTCCATTACTGCTGTCCGCAGCTAAATTCAAACCAATTTAAACACATTAGATGCAGTTAGTGTTTCTATGTCATACATTGGTTATTGTTTGTTAAAGGCACACAGAGTAATAGTCAAGCTATATGAACCTTTTATAATATTCAAGTCTGGACAAGCCAGTCCAGTGATTGACGTCATGAACATCAATCTACGCAACGTAGTAGTGCTATACGGTGATATTCAGTAAAACAGCTCTCTTGATCAGCCGATCACGCCAGTCGTGTCTTACAGGTTTTGCTTGCCGAAGATCAATGCTATCCCAGATCATTCAGACATTTAACCATGACGCATTTCTACTGGAGACGTAAGGAACTCTTTTTGTAGATATAAATGATAAATGATAAACATTCTTGAATTAAATCATGTACTTAGTTTTAACTGCATAAAATACCCCCATCCAACACCCTCAAACACAATGTATATGTTAAATCATACTTACGATCGCTTCGACAGTAGCCACATGACTGCGCACAGTTTTCGCGCATGTAATTGACAAACATGTCGGTGCAGTATCCTCGACGTTGCCAGTAGTTGCAGTTGGTGTTCATATCCTCACAGGTTGCAACTGAATCAAATAATAGCGAATTAATGAACGGGAAGAAGAATTCCCACAACCGAAGCCTTCGGTGTTTACATTTTACATTTACAAGATACACACAAGCATGTTCTTTCCATCGAGATTTCCAAAGATGGCGATAACATAGTTTATCATCATCATCATCATCACCATCATGATGATGATGATCATCATCATTTAACAGCGTCATTCGAGACTTACTCAGATGTTGTTAAGTTGTTTTATTGAGTTAACCAGGTTCAAATGCAAAGTAAGGGGTAGACTGGTGTAGACGAGATCGCAGCAATGGACTTTACACTTTCTCATGAATTGAGGAATAGATCTGTTGCTCAGAGGTGCAGTTAAGCTGCGTATCTGCGTAAATTACGCAAATATTTATGTGAAAACTGAACTCCTATTAAGTCTATTGCGTATAAGTACGCTTGAAGTTTTGTAAATACTCAATAAATGTGATCTTACATGCGTACACATACAAATGACCAATCTTAGCTTGCGTACCGGTGGATAGATAGAATAACTGAAGTATACTGAGAGGTTCTGTTTCAGGACATGAACTTGACAACTTGCAGTCTTTCTTATCGTTTCTCATATTACAGATCAAATGTAAATCACAAACACTAACATTAAAACTTTATTAGAGTTTTAAAATTAATGGAAAATGGAGTTTGAGTGAAGAGAGTACAATTTATTTCGTTACTCAAAGGATAATTAGGATACCCAACTGAGATGAAGACAAGCGAGTACATAACTCAATGACCCAAAACCTTATCTGTAGTTCTGGTTGCTTATATTGTAATCACGGGTGTATATGTTCTCTGACAGTCAAGTTCCACAACATTCTCTTGCTTTCTTGTTTTGTTAGTTTGCTGTTTAGTGCCACTCTATTCTATCTATATAACAACGGTCTGTAAATAATCCAGTCTGGGTCAGACAATCCAGTGATAGACATTGTGAGCATCAACTTGACATTGGGGACAACACGACATTCACCAACCTCCGCCCGGTAACATATTGTCTTGCCGCAAACACCTACATTAGCATTCGATGGAATAAATACATTTTAAGATAAGACTTGCCAACTTGGCCACTCACCTTTATCACAGACATTGCAGGATTCCTGGCAGTAGACCAACATGTAGCCTGGGTTTCGCTGGCACTCCCCCCGTTCTGCCCAGGCTTCACAGCTCTGGTGCATGTTAAAGCAAGTCCCAGTCACTGAAACAAACCAAAGTACACGGTGACATCTCGGGCATCAGGCGGCGACACATGGACGCCAAATCTAGCGGATCCAAGTACTAGGACAACCAGCTTCGTGTCTTGACCATCAACTGGACAACTCAGGAATATCCTGGGCTTCATTTAGGTTTCAAATTTGGAATCGACATTTTTAAAAAGCAGATTCTGGAATGAAAGTCGCCAGTTTGAAACTGGTTCTGGAAAGACTGGGTAAGCTGTCACCCGTAATGACCATTCGTAACTACTCGTCTCTTTCCGTGGCCTACAAGAAGACTCGTACCTGTATAGTACGCCATTATTGCCAAGAATCGTGGCGAACCAATCAAATCGCGCGTAGTGAAACGCCTTTCGAAGACTGAAAATGGCGGCAACCTCGAAATTTGAAACTTCGCTAAACTATGCAAAGCCCAATTTACACATAAACTTTGAGCTAACAGATCAGCAACTTTCAACACTGAAGCATCTTTACGAAGGGAATGACTTTATAGCAGTTTAGTCCACTGGATGTGTGATATTCTTGGATTAGTCATGCTTGGAACTTCCCTTGGATATTGTACTTGACTATTTTCATCACTGTACCCGTTTGCGCTTAGACAAGGCCCAGTCGTGAACATGGCCACGAGGGGCTTCGAGACACCACCCGGCTTGCCGGAATGACACGAGTAGTTACGAATGCCGTTATGACAAGTCTTCAAGTCTTTGTTTAGCGGAGCGAGAACTAAGATCCTATTTGAAAGATTCCCTGTTGACAGGCAAAGTGCCATCTAAAGTTAATTTCTCTGAACCAACCTGGTGCTTGTGTGACACCGCCGCCATCGCCACCGTCTCCACCGTCACCGCCGTCCCCGATGTCGCCTCCGTCACAATACTGAACTGGGCTGTTTCCAGTTCCGGGGCACCAACACTTGCAGTCTTTGCCGACGAAGCCCTCACCGGCACAGTCAGCATCGGTGATGCCAGTACAAGACTCTGAAAATAGTGTTTCAGATGTTAGATGTCAACTGGGTAAGCAGGTGCCTTCACCGGCACAGTCAGCATCGGTAATGCCAGTACAAGACTCTGAAAATAGTGTTTCAGATGTTAGATGTCAACTGGGTAAGCAGGTGCCCTCACCGGCACAGTCAGCATCGGTAATGCCAGTACAAGACTCTGAAAATAGTGTTTCAGATGTTAGATGTCAACTGGGTAAGCAGGTGCCCTCACCGGCACAGTCAGCATCGGTGATGCCAGTACAAGACTCTGAAAATAGTGTTTCAGATGTTAGATGTCAACTGGGTAAGCAGGTGCCCTCACCGGCACAGTCAGCATCGGTGATGCCAATACAAGACTCTGAAAATAGTGTTTCAGATGTTAGATGTCAACTGGGTAAGCAGGTGCTACTGGCGGAGCATGTCTGACACCCTATTCGTGGAATCCTGGTGTCATCAAGTTTCAGTGATTATTAATGTAATTTTCATCACTTTGGCTCATGATCCAATGGGATCTGATTCGGTACATGGGTCGAGACCGACCGTTCTCTTACGTGGACGTTTTCAAATACAAACAGTTTTGTGTCGCAGCTGAATGGACGTAGGTAAATACTTCGAGTTATCCAAGGTGGGGTAGCTTAGTGGTTAAAGCGTTTACACGTCACGCCGAAGACCCGAAGATATTGCTGGAATATTGCTAAAAGCTGACGAGCGAACGGTTTAACCATTAGGCTAGCCCACCGCCCCTTATCCACCATGAAACACAGGCGTTTTCTTTCTTTGTCATGCAGTGTATATCTCCCTAACAAAGTCCCGTTAATCCCCAAATTTGTTGATTTCGTTTTCTTTGTTTGTTGTTCACGCCGTATGGTATAATCGAGTCAGGACTAAACAATCCAGTGATCAACAGCATGAGCAGCATGAGCTTCGATCTAAGTAGTTGGTATACGATGACATGTGTCAACCAAGTCAGCGAGCCTGACCACCCGATCCCGTTAGTTGCCTCTTACGACAAGCATGGGTTACTGAAGATCAATATTCTAACCTGGATCTTTTGAACAATGTCCAACCAATGCATCAAACAATGTCCAACCAATGCATCAAACAATGTCCAACCAATGCATCAAACAATGCCTGAACAATGTGCAGTGGGTTTCCTCACCTGTGTCTGACACAGGATGTAGACGACACAGAGTGTAGCACAGTCTAAAGTGTGAGAATTAAGTGAGTTTAGTGTCACGCCGCAGCATTAACACGGCGTGGGAACACCAGAAATGGGCTTCACACATTGTACCCATTTGGGGAATCGAACCCGGGTCTTCAGCGTGACGAGCGGACGTTAAGCTACCCCACCGCCCTTGTGAGATGTGTACCTGAGCAGGTGTACATCTTGTTTGCCAGTTTGATGTCACTGAAGCTGTGGCCACGTCGGTTTCCGATCCTGTTTTGAAATTCCGGTCTGAGGGTCTCGATGGTGCGCCGACCATTCACAGAGAACGCCTGCAAGCATGAAGATAACGGAAGGTCAGTTACATTGTTGGAGGGGCGAGTGAGTCAGAGAGTGAGTCCAGACATTCTCGGTAGTGTGTACTGATCAATGTGCTGAGAGGGAGGGAATCCCGTTGTTACCTTAGATCTTCTGGCCAACACACACACTGCATCCTTACCGCAACACATCCACACCCCAACGTGTTTAATATGTCTAGATCATCGTGATACAGCTGGAATAGTGCCAAGTGCGGGGCAAATCAGTGAGTGAGTTTAGTTTTACACTGCACTCGGCAATATTCCAGCTATATGGCAGCCGTAAATAATCGAGTTTGGACCAGACGACCCAGTGATCAACAGCATGAGCATCAATCTACGCAATTGGGAAACGATGACAAGTGTCAACCAAGTCAGCGAGCCTGATCACCCAATCCCGTTAGTCGTCTCTTACGACAAGCATGGGTTACTGAAGATCAATTCTAACCAGGACCTTCACGGGTAAAAAAACAACAGACATGCATTTATCTTACCGTACTGCCATAGTGCATGATGCTGGTGTAGTCGTAAGGAACGCCGAAATCGTCGATGACTGCTGTGGAATATTTCTGGAAGTTGAAAAAGACGTTGGGAGGGATGTTCTCCCTCAGTATTCGTACAAAGCGGTCCCTGTCAGGCCTGGTCTGTTCGTGGTGGAATCCAACGGCGTGGCCGATCTCGTGAATAATTGTCCCTTTCTGTAAGTAGGATAAAACGACTGTTATCGATCTGTTCCTGTGGTATAGTGGGTGAGTTCAGTTTTACGCCGCTTTTAGCACTGTTCCAGCAATATCCGGGCGGGGGAACACCAGAAATGGGCTTCACACATTGTACCCATGTGGGGAATCGAACCCGGGTCTTAAGAGTGACGAGCGACCGTTTTAACCACTAGGCTACCCCACCGCTTCTCCAGGGATATAACGTTTAGTGCACGTGCTACTTAATCTGGTACGGATGGTGTTCATATTGTGATGTTTGGATCCCAATTTGAAATTTTATTTACACGATTACCAAATTGTATAATTACTACCACTACGGTCAAACCCAGTTAATCGTAAAACGACGATATAAGATTCAACAACACGTCACAATCCTTGATCAGCGGCTCCTGGAGTAGGAATCACTTGACCCAATTAGCGACGGGAGGTCATACGAGTATGTTAGGTATTCATTAATATCCTATAATCACCGTACATATTTAATTTTACGGTATGTTTTTTCGTGGTGATTTTTGTAGTTTTATGTTTGTTTTTGTTCATGAGTGTTTACCTGTCTGCAACCTTGTGCTAGAGTGACGGCCTGAGGACCACGCCCCAACATCCCCACGAACGAAGAACAGCTGAAACGAAGACCACAAGGTACTGGATCTGCTGACAACAATGCTGCATGAACTCCATATTGCACTTAATCATCAGTTAATTTGACATTTTAAATTACCCACAATGCAGGTCGTAAATTCGATGGTTTTTGGTTGGTTTGTTTTGCTTCTTATTGACCTTGAAAAGGTCAGCAGTGATGACCTCGTCCTTGAACCGTCGATTTAGGTCCACGTTGTTCTATTGCAATCATCTTGCAAGCGGTGCATTTCATATTAACTTAGATCACCTACCCGCCGCCATCTTGAAATCTCATTCGGTTCCCAGTGCTTCTCTGTGGAAACGAGAGGCACGTGTACATCTCCCAGTCGTTGATCGCATTCTGGATCTGTCGCTGGTCGTTGGTCGCTGAGAACAAACATCACATGACCTTGATTTCGTGCACGGTATACCAAGGTACCAATACCACGGTATTACCCACTCAAAAGTTGGTTTGTCATAATTTGTCACAGATTAAGAAAATACTCGTCTAAGTTTAGCTGACTACAATGGTGTAATTCTAGGTATCCAAAGCCTTTCGTCCTTTGCCTCAACCTAAGTCGCTCAGCTGATATCCTTACTTAGACACAATGGGGGCGGTAAGGTAGCCTAGGGGTTAAAGCTTTCGCTCATCACCCCGAAGACCCTGGTTCGATTCCCCACATGGTAGTCCCCTGCCGTGATGTTGCGGGAATATTGCTAAAACGGCATAAAATCATACTCACTCACTAAGTCCTACCGTTAACCAACTAGGTACAGCACAGGCAGGGCGAACAGCAGTCTATGTTAACTTAGGCTCAGTATTATTCGTTACACTGCTATGCTGAGTCTAACAAACACACAATAATATATTACAAATGATAACAGCGGAAACACTCACAGAATGTATTTGCGGTTATCTCGTATGGGATCCTCTTTGACGTCCACCGAAGTCGCGTGTTCCGGACGGCTTTCCGCTTCTCTCTGGTGTTTCCGCTGGTTTTATTTCTGAGGATTGGAATGACAATAGTCAACAGCTACAAATAGATTCTACCTAGTATCGGCAGGTTTAGTGTCGTAATGAACAGACACAAAACGATGGCATGCCTTGATAATAGTTTCCCAACAACTGATTTTGACAAAAATACCGTAAAACATGGATTCAAATAATCTATTATATGACATTAACGCGAAACACTGTTGATTCATCACGACTCACCAGAAATATTAAAATACTAATAACAATAACAATAATAATAATAACTGTAATCATCATCATAATGATGAATATGTATTGTTATTCTCCCAAAATAAACTGGGATACAATAATGTGATATATGATGGGATGATTCTATTTTAAGACTGTAAAACAAAACACAATAATTACGACTCAGGAAAATATTCAAAATGTCTTTGCTTAAAGACCGTGGGATATATGAATTATTAAATATAATATTAGATAATCATGATAATAATCGGCCCTTACAGTTTGATTATCTCCCTCCACTGGTCCATCGTGAACTTCATGTCGAGTTCCACCTGCACCTCGCCAGCGGCCTCATCCATGAAATCGAACTGGGCGCCTGTTGAGACAAGGGAGTGAGTGACGGTGGGGTACATTCGTAACCAACTCGTGTTATTCCGGGACAAGCCGAATAGACGAAAACCCATCATTGATGACACAACCATAAGGGATAGGATGGGTATTGCAAAGTACCTAAGAACCATGTTACATTGAAATTATTGTTGCATGGTATTTCACAGGTTAGTTCACGAATGTCAGGGCGATTTTCATCATTTGGATCAACTCGGTATTTTCCGCTAACTATTGAATGCATACGGTATTGAAGTGGGACAAATGATTCACATTGCCGTATTGGTTTACAACGTTCTTCTATAAAAGTTCTATATAAGTCACCGAGGTGTCCGAGCTGTACAGCGGTGTTCTGGTTCTAAGAAAGTAAAATACTATATGGATGACAAACTCTTTTATTATATTATGATGCGACGTTTCGGTATAGATTCTTATACCGTTGTCAAGCAAGAGTGACACTTGCTTGATCAGTCTTGCTTGACAACGGTATAAGAATCTGTACCCAAACCTCGCATCATAATATAATTATAAAAGAAGTTGTCATCCATATAGTATCTCACTAATATTACTCATGATAGTATCATAGTAAAATATTGAGCACATCCCGAGTGCCTTTGGCAATGATTAAAGACTTTAAATACTTCAGGCTATTCAATAAAGAAACAAATTTGCATTCATTGTCATATTCTTACTTGATGTAGCCGCGTTTTGAATAATTTGGTCCATCGTCAAGGAAGACACGGTGCTCAGAATCTGAAAGAGATATTGGTCAGTATGTCAGCATAGATATTCCAGTGGTCAGCCATCTGTATGTTTCCATCCATATAACGCTGAAGGCTGTTGGGGGGAGGTGGATCATGGGGGGTTACCGTCATGCGGAACCCCACGCACCCATCCAGCCATCACCCCCTCTCACCCCCTGGAGATCCTACTACGACAGTACCCTTAACTATATTTCGATGTAAGAATATATTACTATGTACTATAGATGACATATAAGACATTTTATACAGTAAAATGTTTCATTAAATGATAACTCGTAAATGTAGAGGAACACTCTTCTTTTGATAGACAACTTCTCTATTGCAACATATGCGACGGTGTTTAGCATCTACACCGAAACGTCGCATCTGTTGCAATAGAGAAGTTGTCTGTTCATAAAGTGTTCATCTTGATCATACCAGCTTGTAAATGCCACTTAAAGAAGAACTCGTAAATGTGTACAATTTATAGATTGTCAAAATCTATCTCACCTGAATAAATGAAATCACAGCGAGAAATGAGGCAAACTTTGTTAAGGCCATGTTGAATATGACCATTACTACAAGTCTGGTATGAAGTGATGTGCTGCTGTCGGTCGTTTATATCTTGCTCCTAGCACCCCTTACTTCCTGTGTGCTGTCCGGCTGACCGACATGCAGTGTGTCATCTGAACAAATCGTGCTCCTTGACCAACCCCGGGGTGACAATTCACTTTGGTCACGTGTACCCATGTACTTCCAAATATGGAAACTATTTCATATTTCATGTGAATTGACGACAGCTTTAAACTTCCGTGACGAAACATCAACTGTGAGAAAAGATCGAAACGTGAAAGTGACTAAACACAACGAGGTGACGAGTTTGCTTCAAAGAATGAATGTGTAACCATCACATTGATCTATGCGAGCGCTGTCGTGATCATTTCTGAACATGCTGTGTCACCAAGCAGTACGAGTTGACCCCGCCTGATATGCATGGCGTTATCACAAGGAAAAGGTGTTGTTGGGCAGACGATTTATGTAAATAGATTAATTTAAATGAAGAAATATGTGTGTGTAAAGCACGTTTAGTGTCAACAAATACCCAATATTTCCGCCTGGATAATATAGTCAGCCACAAAACACCTATTTGTTTAATATTGAACAAACTTTAAGGATAACAATTTCTTTTTATTCGAAGAAGTTGTTATCCATAAAGTTTGTTCTATATTGTAATTCCCAACTTCTAAGATGCCACTCAAAGAAGTTACCTATTTGTTTAATTATCATACCCCTAAAATATCCCCAAAAGGTTTCAGCGTAACGAATGTTTATTAAAGGTAAACATAATTGCTTAGTTGAAATAGCATACGGTGCGTACTCCTGTAATTCTTCATATAGATGGACTTTCGTCACAGATACAGCGTTTCTCATCCCTTGCAATGTCCATTACGTGGAACAGTAAGAAACTCATGGTCGCATCGGTCTATGGTGGTTGTGAGAAGCGATTAAACTGATCTAGGGCTACGGCATTCCTAAGCCAATGGTAAACAGTAGAATTACGACAGGTCGTAACGTTACGAATGCTTTGTGGATCAGTGCCCCCGTTTCACAAAGATATGGTAGGGCTACGACTGACGTAACTCCCCATACCGTAACATAGATTTCCGACAGTCGTAGCGCTACGATAACTTTGTGAAACTGGATTCAGGACCCTGCGGACCTTTCCACAAATCTGCAGTAGCGCTAGGCTGAACATGGCGTACGACTGTCGTGGCACTACGATCGCTTTGTGGAACCCGGCCCTGGTCAGACTTCGCTTTTTGTCATTCATCGTTTCATTTCCCAATTTGACTGGCTTGTAAGCACACAGAAACGCTTCATCCTTCGCTTCTTGATATTCAGTGAGTTGACATCAATGTCTAAAGCCTTTACTTTAATATTTCAATTCATCGTATGCTAGATTGATTTTAGAATATATTGACTTTCAACTAACTCTCTCTGAAACACAAGTTTTCTGTTAGCAAATTTCCGTTGTTTCGTTCCCCAGGTTAGAAAGGCGAACTCAACTGGAGCTTTTCTTCACGAAAGTTCATAAATGATAATTTAGTGGGAGTATAAGTTAACATGAATGTGAGTTACAGCATAAATATTCCTGGACAAATACTGACGATTAAACCCAGGATATTCGAGAATGCGTCAAGAGCTTATGTTACATCCAGTTCATGGTACATGGTAGCCATATTTTAACGTTATTATCAATCCCCCGCATAGTCGACGTTATAATGTAGCTGACTGCAGTATATAGTCGACGTTATAATGTAGCTGACTGCTGCATATAGTCGACGTTATAATGTAGCTGACTGCTATATATAGTCGATGTTATGAAGTAGCTGACTGCAGTATATAGTCTACGTTATAATATAGCTGACTGCAGTATATAGTCGACGTTATAATGTAGCTGACTGCAGTATATAGTTGACGTTATAATATAGCTGACTGCAGTATATAGTCGATGTTATAATGTAGCTGACTGCAGTATATAGTTGACGTTATAATATAGCTGACTGCAGTATATAGTCGATGTTGTAATGTAGCTGACTGCAGTATATAGTTGACGTTATGATGTAGCAGACAGCAGTATATAGTTGACGTTATAATGTAGCTGACTGCAGTATATAGTCGATGTTATAATGTAGCTGACTGCAGTATATAGTTGACGTTATAATATAGCTGACTGCAGTATATAGTCGATGTTGTAATGTAGCTGACTGCAGTATATAGTCGACGTTATGATGTAGCAGACTGCAGTATATAGTTGACGTTATAATGTAGCTGACTGCAGTATATAGTTGATGTTATAATGTAGCTGACTGCAGTATATAGTTGACGTTATAATGTAGCTGACTGCAGTATATAGTCGACGTTATAATGTAGCTGACTGCTGTATATAGTCGACGTTATAATATAACTGACTGCAGTATATAGTCGATGTTATAATGTAGCTGACTGCTGTATATAGTCGACGTTATAATATAGCTGACGCAGTATATAGTCGACGTTATGATGTAGCTAACGACTGCTGTATATAGTCGACGTTATAAAGTAGCTGACTGCTGTATATAGTCGATGTTATGAAGTAGCTGACTGCAGTATATAGTCGACGTTATAATGTAGCTGACTGCTGTATATAGTCGACGTTATGATGTAGCTGACTGCAGTATATAGTCGACGTTATAATGTAGCTGACTGCTGTATATAGTCGACGTTATAATATAACTGACTACAGTATATATTCGACATTATAATGTAGATGACTGCTGTATATAGTCGACGTTATAAATGCAGCCGACTGCAGTATATAGTCGACGTTATGATGTAGCTGACTGCAGTATATAGTCGACGTTATAATGTAGCTGACTGTAGTATATAGTCGATATTATAATGTAGCTGACTGCAGTTTATAGTTGACGTTATGATTTAGCAGACTGCAGTATATAGTTGACGTTGTAATGTAGCTGACTGTAGTATATAGTCGACGTTATAATGTAGCTGACTGCAGTATATAGTCGACGTTATGATGTAGCTGACTGCAGTATATAGTCGACGTTATAATGTAGCTGACTGTAGTATATAGTCGACGTTATGATGTAGCTGACTGCAGTATATAGTCGACGTTATAATATAGCTGACTGCTGTAGTATATAGTCGACGTTATGATATAGCTGACTGCAGTATATAGTCGACGTTATGTAGTAGACTGATATAGCGACGTTATGATGTAGCAGACTGCGGTATATAGTCGACGTTATAATGTAGCTGACTGCAGTATATAGTCGACGTTATGATGTAGCTGACTGCAGTATATAGTCGACGTTATAATATAACTGACTGCAGTATATAGTCGACGTTATAATGTAGCTGACTGCTGTATATAGTCGACGTTATAATATAGCTGACTGCAGTATATAGTCGACGTTATAATGTAGCTGACTGCTGTATATAGTCGACGTTATGTAATGTAGCTGACTGCAGTATATAGTCGACGTTGTAATGTAGCTGACTGCAGTATATAGTCGACGTTATGATGTAGCAGACTGCAGTATATAGTCGACGTTGTAATGTAGCTGACTGTAGTATATAGTCGACGTTATGATGTAGCTGACTGCAGTATATAGTCGACGTTGTAATGTAGCTGACTGTAGTATATAGTCGACGTTATGATGTAGCAGACTGCAGTATATAGTCGACGTTGTAATGTAGCTGACTGCAGTATATAGTTGACGTTATGATGCTGACTGCAGTATATAGTCGAGTTTATATAGTATATAGTCGACGTTATAATGTAGCTGACTGCAGTATATAGTCGATGTTATAATGTAGCTGACTGCTGTATATAGTCGACGTTATAATATAGTGACTATATATAATGTAGCTGACTGCAGTTTATAGTTGACGTTATGATTTAGCAGACTGCAGTATATAGTTGACGTTGTAATGTAGCTGACTGTAGTATATAGTCGACGTTATAATGTAGCTGACTGCAGTATATAGTCGACGTTAGGATGTAGCTGACTGCAGTATATAGTCGACGTTATGATGTAGCTGACTGTAGTATATAGTCGACGTTATGATAGCAGAGTCAGTCGACGTTGTAATGTAGCTGACTGTAGTATATAGTCGACGTTATGATGTAGTGACTGCAGTATATAGTCGACGTTATATAGTGACGACGTTATAGTCGACGTTATAGTAGCTGACTGCAGTATATAGTCGACGTTATAATGTAGCTGACTGCTGTATATAGTATATAGTCGACGTTATAATCGATAGCTGACTGCAGTATATAGTCGACGTTATGATGTAGCAGACTGCAGTATATAGTCGACGTTGTAATGTAGCTGACTGTAGTATATAGTCGACGTTATGATGTAGCTGACTGCAGTCGACGTTATAGTAGCTGACTGCGTATATAGTCGATGTTATAGCAGCTGACTGCAGTATATATCGACGTTATAATAGTAGCTAACTGCAGTATATAGTCGAATGAAGTAGCTGACTGCAGTATATAGTCGACGTTATAATGTAGCTGACTGCAGTATATAGTCGACGTTATGATGTAGCTGACTGCTGTATATAGTCGACGTTATGATGTAGCTGACTGCAGTATATAGTCGACGTTATGAAGTAGCTGACTGCAGTATATAGTCGACGTTATGATGTAGCTGACTGCTGTATATAGTCGACGTTATAATGTAGCTGACTGCAGTATATGGTCGACGTTATGATGTAGCTGACTGCAGTATATAGTCGACGTTATAATGTAACTGACTGCAGTATATAGTCGACGTTATAATGTAGCTGACTGCTGTATATAGTCGACGTTATAATATAGCTGACTGCAGTATATAGTCGACGTTATGATGTAGCTGACTGCAGTATATAGTCGACGTTATGAAGTAGCTGACTGCAGTATATGGTCGATGTTATGAAGTAGCTGACTGTAGTATATGGTCGACGTTATAAAGTAGCTGACTGCAGTATATAGTCGATGTTATGAAGTAGCTGACTGCAGTATATAGTCGACGTTATAATGTAACTGACTGCTGTATATAGTCGACGTTATGATGTAACTGACTGCTGTATATAGTCTACGTTGTAATGTAGCTGACTGTAGTATATAGTCGACGTTATAATGTAGCTGACTGCAGTATATAGTCGACGTTATGATGTAGCTGACTGCAGTATATAGTCGACGTTATAATGTAGCTGACTGTAGTATATAGTAGACGTTATGATGTAGCAGACTGCAGTATATAGTCGACGTTGTAATGTAGCTGACTGCAGTATATAGTCGACGTTATGATGTAGCAGACTGCAGTATATAGTCGACGTTATAATGTAGCTGACTGTAGTATATAGTCGACGTTATAATGTAGCAGACTGAGTTATATAGTTGACGTTATAATGTAGCTGACTGCAGTATATAGTCGACGTTATAATGTAGCTGACTGCAGTATATAGTCGATATTATAATGTAGCTGACTGCAGTTTATAGTTGACGTTATGATTTAGCAGACTGCAGTATATAGTCTACGTTGTAATGTAGCTGACTGTAGTATATAGTCGACGTTATAATGTAGCTGACTGCAGTATATAGTCGACGTTATGATGTAGCTGACTGCAGTATATAGTCGACGTTGTAATGTAGCTGACTGTAGTATATAGTAGACGTTATGATGTAGCAGACTGCAGTATATAGTCGACGTTGTAATGTAGCTGACTGTAGTATATAGTCGACGTTATGATGTAGCTGACTGCAGTATATAGTCGACGTTGTAATGTAGCTGACTGTAGTATATAGTCGACGTTATGATGTAGCAGACTGCAGTATATAGTCGACGTTGTAATGTAGCTGACTGCAGTATATAGTTGACGTTATGATGTAGCAGACACGAGTTATATAGTTGACGTTATAATGTAGCTGACTGCAGTATATAGTCGATGTTATAATGTAGCTGACTGTAGTATATAGTCGATATTATAATGTAGCTGACTGCAGTATATAGTCGACGTTATAATGTAGCTGACTGCAGTATATAGTCGACGTTATGATGTACCTGACTGCTGTATATAGTCGATGTTGTAAATGTAGCTGACTGTAGTATATAGTAGACGTTATGATGTAGCAGACTGCAGTATATAGTCGACGTTGTAATGTAGCTGACTGCAGTATATAGTTGACGTTATGATGTAGCAGACACGAGTTATATAGTTGACGTTATAATGTAGCTGACTGCAGTATATAGTCGATGTTATAATGTAGCTGACTGCTGTATATAGTCGACGTTATAAAGTAGCTGACTGCTGTATATAGTCGACGTTATGAAGTAGCTGACTGCAGTATATAGTCGACGTTATAATGTAGCTGACTGCAGTATATAGTCGACGTTATAATGTAGCTGACTGCAGTATATAGTCGACGTTATAATATAGCTGACTGCAGTATATAGTCGACGTTATAATGTAGCTGACTGCAGTATATAGTCGACGTTATGATTTAGCAGACTGCAGTATATAGTCGACGTTGTAATGTAGCTGACTGTAGTATATAGTCGACGTTATAATGTAGCTGACTGCAGTATATAGTCGACGTTATGATGTAGCTGACTGCAGTATATAGTCGACGTTATAATGTAGCTGACTGCAGTATATAGTCGACGTTATGATGTAGCAGACTGCAGTATATAGTCGACGTTGTAATGTAGCTGACTGTAGTATATAGTCGACGTTATGATGTAGCTGACTGCAGTATATAGTCGACGTTATAATGTAGCTGACTGCAGTATATAGTCGACGTTATGATGTAGCAGACTGCAGTATATAGTCGACGTTATAATGTAGCTGACTGCAGTATATAGTCGACGTTATAAAGTAGCTGACTGCAGTATATAGTCGACGTTATGAAGTAGCTGACTGCAGTATATAGTCGACGTTATAAAGTAGCTGACTGCTGTATATAGTCGATGTTATGAAGTAGCTGACTGCAGTATATAGTCGACGTTATAATGTAGCTGACTGCAGTATATAGTCGACGTTATGATGTACCTGACTGCAGTATATAGTCGACGTTGTAATGTAGCTGACTGTAGTATATAGTCGACGTTATGATGTAGCTGACTGCAGTATATAGTCGACGTTATAATGTAGCTGACTGCAGTATATAGTCGACGTTATGATGTAGCTAACGACTGCTGTATATAGTCGACGTTATAAAGTAGCTGACTGCTGTATATAGTCGATGTTATGAAGTAGCTGACTGCAGTATATAGTCGACGTTATAAAGTAGCTGACTGCTGTATATAGTCGATGTTATGAAGTAGCTGACTGCAGTATATAGTCGACGTTATAATGCAGCTGACTGCTGTATATAGTCGACGTTATGATGTAGCTGACTGCAGTATATAGTCGACGTTATAATGTAGCTGACTGTAGTATATAGTCGACGTTATGATGTAGCTGACTGCAGTATATAGTCGACGTTATAATGTAGCTGACTGCTGTATATAGTCGACATTATAATGTAGCTGACTGCAGTATATAGTCGACGTTATGACGTAGCTGACTGCAGTATATAGTCGACGTTATAATGTAGCTGACTGCAGTATATAGTCGACGTTATAATGTAGCTGACTGCTGTATATAGTCGACGTTATAATATAGCTGACTGCAGTATATAGTCGATATTATAATGTAGCTGACTGCAGTTTATAGTTGACGTTATGATTTAGCAGACTGCAGTATATAGTCGACGTTGTAATGTAGCTGACTGTAGTATATAGTCGACGTTATAATGTAGCTGACTGCAGTATATAGTCGACGTTATGATGTAGCTGACTGCAGTATATAGTCGACGTTGTAATGTAGCTGACTGTAGTATATAGTCGACGTTATGATGTAGCTGACTGCAGTATATAGTCGACGTTATAATGTAGCTGACTGCAGTATATAGTCGACGTTATAATGTAGCTGACTGCAGTATATAGTCGACGTTATGATGTAGCTGACTGCAGTATATAGTCGACGTTATGATGTAGCAGACTGCAGTATATAGTCGACGTTATAATGTAGCTGACTGCAGTATATAGTCGACGTTATGAATGTAGCAGACTGCAGTATATAGTCGACGTTATAATGTAGCTGACTGCAGTATATGGTCGACGTTATAATGTAGCTGACTGCAGTATATGGTCGACGTTATGAAGTAGCTGACTGCAGTATATAGTCGATGTTATGAAGTAGCTGACTGCAGTATATAGTCGACGTTATAATGTAGCTGACTGCAGTATATAGTCGACGTTATGATGTAGCTAACGGCTGCTGTATATAGTCGACGTTATGAAATAGCTGACTGCAGTATATAGTCGACGTTATGAAGTAGCTGACTGCAGTATATAGTCGATGTTATGAAGTAGCTGACTGTACAGTATATAGTTGACGTTATGATGTAACTGACTGCTGTATATAGTCGACGTTATAATCTAGCTGACTGCAGTATATAGTCGATGTTTTAAGTTAAGTACAGCGTTATTCAAACTTGACTAGGTTCAAAACATTTGCCAAAATACTCCAAAGGAAATATTTCAAAACTATTATACCCACTTTAAACATGCCACAGTCTAATGACCTCTTCCGTGTTGTACTATTTCGTTCAAGGAGTTACCCATTACGTGAGTACTTTGCGCCTTCCTCTCTAGTTTGTTAGCTCGCTTTGTTAGCTCGCAGTTTACAAAAATCGAATTATATAGAAGCTGCTATTTAGGTTTGTAAATAAATGTTTTGCAAGATACGAATCGTGCTAGCTGTTGAATCAACAGTATCCACAGAGAGATATTCGTGTGTTAGCCTTTGTAGCTGATCAGAGATATATAGTGTCCTATCAGTGGCTTAGGTCCGATTTTGAAATTGATCGTTACATGCCGGACTAAAGCATGAAACTTTGCATATTGAAAGAATATTGTGGGTTTAATCAAACAAAAATTGGGTGCCCGATTTTCAATGCGTGGTTTGCCTTTAATAGTAAGTTCATTTTAGGGGTACGATGACGATAACTTCAAGACTGAAGAGGATGTGTTGTCGGTAAGTAGTATACCATTGACGTCACTGTATTTACTTCCTGTTACACGCATATCTTTGCGTCATACCACGTAATGCTAAGTAAAGCAAATATGGAACTAAGAAGTAGAATTTAGTAAGTTATTAACATCAATTAAAATCATAGTTGATTATTTTTACAACTCTATGAAATTGTAAACAATACTAAATCATTGATTTCCCGTCATTGACGTCCGATGTAATATGCAACGTCGGCTGAGGCTATTCATATATATTTCGCAGTTGCAAACTAACCCAGTTGCAGAAATATTTTTTGCCAAATAGTCTACGATACACGTTTATGTAAATAACATACCAAACCTATCAAATTTAATTTGAAATAAGGACATACACGTAAATTCTGGTCGGCCTGATAGTTACTTCTGTCAAGGGAGATAACTCTCTATCAGACTCTCCGATAATAATTTCGTATCAACACATTATAATAAGTATATATTAATATATGAATCTGGATGTTTTTGCTTGATTATTTAGATAAGTAGCTATTGAACACGGAAGAAACTATCAACATTAAATTTTACAGAAAGGCAACATAATACAATTTGTTTTTTCATCACGTTTTTTTTCTAAAAATGGGTAGGTAGGATATATTTTATTTGTACTTATATTTTTTTTGTACACAATGTAAATGTGAAACCTGGGAGCAGACACGGATTTCACAAGTCTGTTGGCTTTATCCATGCCACATTTACCAGTGCAAAAGATAAACAATATTTAGTAATAAGAACAAAAATCATTCTTACATGTGGCCTAATATTATGTTTATTAAGATTTTCTTGTAAAGGGCATAAACAGAGTTGTATATTTTTTGTTATTTTCTCGTGCAGGCTGTATGCAGTTGATGGGTATTCTGAAATGTCGTCAGATATTTGGGAACAGTGCATCATTTGTGGTACAGCTGGCAGTGAACTGAGATGTCCTGGAAAAGGAAACAACCCTCAACCGCTTGAATGTTATGAAGATTTCATAAGATGTATGAAAGGTTTTGAGGAGTTAGGGAAGTTACCTTTCAATTTACAAAACTATGATTACCATAATGCTTCACAGTTGTTGAAGAATCAAGCAAAATGGCATAAGGCATGTCGTCTGAAATATGCATCATCAAAACTCAGCAGATTACAAGAGAGGGAACAAAAGAGAGCTCGAGAAAACATGTGTGAGACCCCGAGAGAAAATCAAAACGATCACGTGAATCACGTCAGATCTGTGATGAGCGATGTATATTCTGTCAAGAATCAGAGGGTTTGTTACACAGGTGCTCTACTTTATCACTAGATGCCAATGTCAGGAATATGGCAACAGACATCCAGGACACTGATTTGTTGTCAAGGATTGCAGGTGGAGACCTCGTTGCAATCGAGGCCATGTATCACAATGCATGTCTGAGGATTTACAAAAATAGACACAGGGCGTTAATAAGGGAACAGAACGGACTTGAATCCGATGATTCACATCAGATGAAGGAATCTCAGGTCTTTGCAGAGTTGGTTTCCTACATTGAAGCCTCTGTCGAAGACGGAAAGTATATATTTCCCTTAGCAGATCTATATAAACTGTATTCTGATAAACTGTTCATATTTGGCTATGACAGGATCACCAACAAATCAAGGTTGAAAGAAAGAATACAAGATCAGTTCATCGGTCAATGTCAAGAACAGACAGATGGAAGGAATACTTTGCTTGTTTTTAATGATGGAATGCGATCGATGATGAGAAAGGCAATGCAAAATCGTGATTTAGAAGATGAAGCCCTTACACTTGCCAAGATTGCTAAACGCATAAGAGGAGATATGTTCAGTGAGGACCTCTTCCAGTTTTCTGGTACATTTCCTGATGATTGTGAACAGAACTCGGTACCCCATAGTTTGAAATCATTAGTGTCGACGTTACTGTATGGTCCCAACATACAGGATGACGACATGACTAACACAAGAGCATGTCTCACAATTTCTCAGCTAATCCTCTTCAATTCAAAAGAGAAAAGCGCAAATCTTCAAAAACCTCGCCATTCCAAGAAAAGAGAGCCCCCACTTCCACTGTATATCGGCTTGGATGTTCACACACGAACACGGAATAAGAACATATTGACTCACTTATATGAACTGGGACTCAGTGTCAGCTATGAACGTGTTTTAGATGTAGGAGATGCACTCACTAGTGCCGTTTGTCAGCGCTATACATCCCAAAACATGGTTTGCCCACCACAGGTTCGTAAGGACATATTCACTGTTGGGGCTCTTGACAATATAGACCATAACCCATCATCTTCTACAGCTGAAGGCTCATTCCATGGAACAAGTATCAGCATTCTGCAGTTCCCAACCACTGATAACCCTGGCATTGTCATGGAACCCGTCACTCTCAATCCGGATTCCAGCACAGATACTCCTTCCCTTCCCGACAAGTACTGCATCGTCCCAGCCGTATCCTGCAGTATTGACGCTTTGTCAGTGCCTGAAGTGATTGTCACAAATGCTTCTGGAGTGGTTGAAAGATCACAAGAAGAGGAAAAGAAATGGACCCTCCAGAGCATATCTCTCCTTCAAAAGGACAAGCTTGAAAAGACTGACTGTATCTCTTGGGGAGCATACCATGCATCGCAGCAGCCTGAAGCATCAACTGAAGCCGGTGTTTCTTGCCTTCTGCCACTGTTTGATGAGAAAGCCGCAACCATTAGTATGGTCAAACATGGTATGGGTATCATTAAAGAAATAACTGCATTCTGTAATCCAGGTCAGGTTCCAGTTATGGCAGTGGATCAACCTCTTTTTGCACTTGCAAAATACGTACAGTGGGGCTGGCCAAACACTTTTGGAGAAGATATGTTCACAGTGATGCTTGGTGGCTTACATACCGAGATGGCTTTATGGAGGATGTTGGGAAATCTGTTGGAGGATTCAGGGTGGACTGTGGCTCTGTTTGAGGCTGGAGTGGCATCTTCGGGAACTGCTGATTCATTTCTTACAGTATCCCACGTGACAAAGACTAGGCATGCTCACCAGGTGACCGCTTTGACTCTGGCGAAACTGCAGAGAGATGCATGCAGAACATTGAATGGAGAATGTGAAGAGGAAGCATTTCAACAGTGGAAGAAACAAATGATGCAGGGGAGGCCAATGTTCAAGTTTTGGGATCTCATCCTTCAACTGGAAACACTTGTACTGATCTTTGTCCGATCTCACCGTGAGAGGAATTTCCATATGTATGTAGAGGTAATGGACCTGCTTGCCCCATGGTTCTTCATCTTGGACCACACCAATTATGCTCGCTGGCTTTCTGTACACATAAGGGATATGAAAACTCTCTTGGCATTGTATTCGGTCGACTTCATGAGAAATTGGTGTTTTCCAAAGACTAAACGAACATTCTCGGCCATGCCATTAGATCAAGCCCATGAGCAAAACAATAAAACAGTCAAGGACTCTGGTGGAGCAGTGGGTTTGACAGAAAACCCAAAAGCCCTGAAAAGATGGATGATTGCTGGACCAGAACAATCACGTCTGCTTCAAGAGTTCGACAAGCAAACAGACAAAACACAGTGCGATTCCAAAAGCCATGAACAGAGTGAATCTAGGCAGAACAAGTTTAAGACTCAAGCATGCCAGCTTTATTACACAATCGCATCAATGGGAAATCCATTTCTGGAAGAATCCACAGATTTGATGACCCTTGATGATCATGATTGTGTAGATGAATCCGTGAGCAAAGCTCTCAATTCTCTTGAATCTGTAGGTAGAGAGCAGTATGATCTCTTCGTTCAAGATACCTTTATGAAGAGAACACAGTCAATCCATGCCCCAATCAAGAAAAACTACGTGCCACTGTTCAAGAGGAGACAGCCTAAAGCCAAATCCAAGATTAGAAGTCAGGTTGATGATATCAAAAGTGACTACAGTCTGTTCAGTCAGATGTTCATAGCCTGCCAAGTGCGCCAAGCTGACTTGTCCGAGTTCTTTTGCCACGAAAACCATCATTGGCCAGTTTCCTTGTCTCAACATGGAAAGCTCCGCCTGCCATCCTGCAAATCAGAATTGCTTGATTGTTTTAAGAAGCATGTGCTTGGAGGAGAACAACCTCATGTGGATGCGAAGATCTTTGATGGAGCAGCCGTTGTCCATTCTCTACCAACTGGCGAAGCAAAGACATTTGGTGAATACTGTGACATGGTGTTCTTACCATGGACAGAAAGGCAGTTGGGCAACTGTAATAGAATTGACATTGTGTGGGACACATACATAGATGGGAGTCTGAAAGAGGCAACCAGAGAAAAGCGAGGAAAGGGGAAACGGAGGAAGGTGTCACGGCAAACAAAATTACCAGCAAACTTTCCATTGTTTCTTCGAGATTCGAAAAACAAGGAGGAACTATTTGAACTTCTGACAGGTGGAGTCGCAGGATTCACCTATGAGACAGGCAAAAACGTCTTCATCACCTCTGGTAGAAATGTGTCCTCAAACAGCAGTGAAGTGATGAATCCCAGTGATCACGAGGAAGCTGACACGCGTATTTGTCTACATGTTGAGGATGTTCTGAAGAAAGGTGGCTCAAGTGTATTGGTGAACACTGTCGATACTGACATCATCATAGTACTGGTGGGAAACTTTTCAAAACTAGAAGTTCATAACTCATCTCTTCAGATATATGTGGCTTTGGGAAAGGCAAACACTTCAGGGTGTTTGACGTCAATTCCATCTACAAAGAACTTGGACACACTAAATCAAATGCTCTTCCATTCTTTCACGCCTTTACTGGGTGTGACACCACTTCACAATTTAGTGGGAAAGGGAAAAGGACAGCTTGGAAGACATGGCTTGCATATCCAGAAGCTACCGAAGGTTTTCTGTACCCCGCACTTGAACCATTTAGTCCGGTCAACGAACACTCATTAGCATTTGCTACCATTGAACGATTCGTGTGCATTCTGTATGACAGCAGCACTTCACTTGACAAAGTCAATGACCTGAGACAAGAGATGTTCTGCCAAGGAAAACGGGTGAAAATGATGAACAATCTGCCACCAACACAGGATGCTCTCATCCAGCACACAAACCGGAGTATCTACCAAGCCAGCATATGGTTGGGTAGTCTAATACCAGAGTTGAATGCCCCGGACCCAAGTTTCCTCGGATGGAGAAAGGAAGACAATACTTGGTGTCCAGTTTGGATGACAATACCCGAGGCATCAAAAGCCTGCAGGGAACTTATCAAGTGTGGATGTAAATCCCAGCCACTCTGTTCTAGAAAGTGCATATGCAAACACTCAAAGCTCGATTGCACTTCCCTTTGCCACTGCAAAGGCAACTGTGAGCACTGAAGGTGCGTAAATGAGATTTCATGTCAATTTTGTCATCTCTGATTTGTAATATGACTCTAAGAATGACATAAAATAATATAATTGGCCTTTGAAATGATTATTATTGGATTCCTGACCATCGAAAATGTAGATTTTCCTTTTTGAAGTACCAGTTTCTGATAGGTATTTACGAAAATAGAACAAAATATGGATTTGGCCGCCATATTGGCCGCCATCTTGGATTTTGAGAAAAGTAGGTCACCAAAATCGGGCACCCCTACCTATTATGATTCAGCAATGTATTTCAAGGTTGTATGCAAAGTTTCATGCTTTAGTCCGCCAAGTATCTATTTTCACCCTAAGCCACTGCACTAGCAGCACAAAATAATTCACTAGCCCGTAATTTGAATGTAGACACGGGTTTCACCCATTCGGGTTGCTAATATGATGAACATTTTTATCAGGCCATAATCTTGCATGATTTAAAAGTGTGTTATAGCTTAACAAATCGGAGAGAGTAATATATTTACAAAATGATCCCCTGAAAATTCACTAGACAGTCCAGCCAGTGACTGTGGAGATTTAATGGCCAGACTGGATTTTTACTAGCCATAGGCTAGCAGCCCAGTGGCTATTTCGATCACTGCCAACAAGTACCATATTTTAACATCTTTAGGTTTGACGCAGCAGGGGATCGAACCCGCGACCTTCTGCTCTCCGGGCAGACACTCAAACCACTACACCACAGAGGCGGTCCTGCAACTAGGTGCTTGTGAGAGATGTTGAGTGAGTGAGTGAGTATGGTTTTGCACCGCTTTTAGCAATATTCCAGCAATATCACGACGGGGGACACCAGAAATGGGCTTCAGAGAGATGTTGAATAAGATAAAGTTTGTGGTAGATAACTGAAGCTAGCACCCCATGCATGCACACACATTGATGTTCAACCCAGGTGAGTTTGGGATGATAAGGTGCCAGTGTAATTGTGCAGCTGGCAGGAATCAGTCCTGAACAACCAATGAACGTATCGTGACACATTAACAAACAAAATTTATTCACTGAGATGAACAGACTGTGACAATGTAGAGGCAGTTGTTTAGAAGATAAACCATGTGCCTATTGGACTGTTTGTCCTTATCCTGTGTCAACCTTCTTGATTCAGATTATCTGAACTGTATACTGAACCAACCACCATGCAGAATAAAGATTGTGAAAATACTTTAAAAAAATGACAACGTACAAGTTTCTATATACAAAGTGTGAATTCAATACCCTCAGTGAATGAGTGAATTTTAACAGTATTTCACAACACAAGCGGGTGCTGGTTGTAGATGTTTCAGTTAGAACTAGCGGCTACTGACAATGGATCAGGACAGAATCTGGATCGGAATCTGTTGTCAGCTCGATACAACTGTACACGGTGCTCACATCAGCCTTCAGACTATATAGTTCAAAGTAAAAAGCTGCCTACATTGCAAAATTTTTCAACAATGTAGATGGTCACACATGCAAACTGTTTCTTTATCTACAAGCAATGGGCTTTTCAATATCACATTTCCACTGCAGACGATATAACTAGTACACAGTTCCTGGATCGATTTTGTCAGACGTGTGAAAGTTTTCCAGCTGTTGCATCCTGACACAGATTATATAATACAACACCATCCATGTAGAGTCGTAGCTGCCATATATGGAACACAATCCAGAGACACGATCCTACTAAACATGTACACATGGCGTTTCCCCTGCAAAAACTGTTGCGATACCATTATGAATAATAATTACATTCATTTCTCTCACAAAGCTGTCAAATAAATGACACTTGCAACACTTGGCTATTGAGCATCATACACTGACGGAAGACACAGACATGCCACATGCTGATGTGCTGGAGTTGTATTCAGTGTATGATCTACATTTAACCACAGAAGGTTGTGGGGTAGACGGGTGATACAAGGGTCTGCTGACCCCCAACACTGCAGATATGTCTACAGCTTCAGACATCTTTAAGATCCTTTACCTACATCTTCAGACATCTGGAAGATCCTTTACCTACATTTTCAGATATCTGGAAGATCCTTTACCTACATTTTCAGACATCTGGAAGATCCTTTACCTACATCTTCAGACATCTGGAAGATCCTTTACCTACATCTTCAGACATCAGGAAAATCCTTTACCTACATCTTCAGATATCTGGAAGATCCTTTACCTACATCTTCAGACATCTGGAAGATCCTTTACCTACATCTTCAGACATCTGGAAGATCCTTTACCTACATCTTCAGACATCTGGAAGATCCTTTACCTACATCTTCAGACATCTGGAAGATCCTTTACCTACATCTTCAGATATCTGGAAGATCCTTTACCTACATCTTCAGACATCTGGAAGATCCTTTACCTACATCTTCAGACATCTGGAAGATCATTTACCTACATCTTCAGATATCTGGAAGATCCTTAACCTACATCTTCAGACATCAGGAAGATCCTTTACCTACATCTTCAGACATCTGGAAGATCCTTTACCTACATCTTCAGACATCTGGAAGATCCTTTACCTACATCTTCAGATATCTGGAAGATCCTTTACCTACATCTTCAGACATCAGGAAGATCCTTTACCTACATCTTCAGACATCAGGAAGATCCTTTACCTACATCTTAAGACATCTGGAAGATCCTTTACCTACATCTTCAGACATCTTTAAGATGAAAAAAATATCCCTTATCTACAGTTATATCCAGCATAAATGTTGTTTATGTCTATAATGCTATGGAATACAGTCAACATACGTTCAGTGATCATGTTACACAGATCTCCTTTACAGTTTCAGAAACATACATTCCCCCAAACCAACAGTGTTCAACTCACTTCCCTCACTCCCATCCTCTGTCTGGTGTTTGTAAACATTTCCACCGAGGTTATTGCCCTCCCCTTACTCAGATCCGGGAGGGAATTCCCAATGTGTTGTTTTACCCCACCTTGGGGTTGATGACCTCCGATACACAGCACCCAGGTGGGTGACCGACCCTGAAGAGCAGCTGACACATATTTACACAAGCCTTTACCTGATTCATGCTTATTGATAATGTACATCCTTCTGTTCCCGCAGCACACTGGCTGACTGTCACTTTAGTCTGATACTGTGCTCTAGCTGCCCAGCACTAGTTTGTGTGGTTCAACATAACAGACCTAACATTGTTTTAGTCTTACAAACATGGGTATCCACCAAGCAGGAAGAATCTTGGCAATTGGCTGCATATGATGCCTACTTGCTCAGTTAGCTTAAACAGTCCACAAGCCCATAAACATATTATGTCACTTAAGGAAATCCTGCATGGGGAACAGCGGTCTTCATTCTTTCATTGAACAGTGATTGAGTGACTGATTGGTGTTGTGGCCCCTGGTGACTGTGGTGGTGTGTTGTGGCCTCTGGTCACTGAGGTAGTGTGTTGTGGCCCCTGGTGACCGAGGTGGTGTGTTGTGGCCCCTGGTCACTGAGGTGGTGTGTTGTGGCCCCTGGTCACTGAGGTGGTGTGTTGTGGCCCCTTGTCACTGAGGTAGTGTGTTGTGACCTCTGGTCACTGAGGTAGTGTGTTGTGGCCCCTCGTCACTGAGATAGTGGGTTGTGGCCTCTGGTCACTGAGGTAGTGTGTTGTGCCCTCTGGTCACTGAGGTAGTGTGTTGTGGCCCCTGGTCACTGAGGTGGTGTGTTGTGGCCCCTGGTCACTGAGGTGGTGTGTTGTGGCCCCCTTGTCACTGAGGTAGGTGTGTTGTGACCTCTGGTCACTGAGGTAGTGTGTTGTGGCCCCTCGCCACTGAGGTAGTGTGTTGTGGCCCCTGTCACTGAGGTGGGTGTGTTGTGCCCTCTGGTCACTGAGGTAGTGTGTTGTGCCCTCTGGTCACTGAGGTAGTGTGTTGTGGCCCCTGGTCACTGAGGTGGTGTGTTGTGGCCCCTGGTCACTGAGGTGGTGTGTTGTGGCCCCTTGTCACTGAGGTAGTGTGTTGTGACCTCTGGTCACTGAGGTAGTGTGTAGTGGCCCCTCGTCACTGAGGTAGTGTGTTGTGGCCCCTTGTCACTGAGGTGGTGTGTTGTGCCCTCTGGTCACTGAGGTAGTGTGTTGTGGCCCCTGGTCACTGAGGTAGTGTGTTGTGGCCCCTGGTCACTGAGGTAGTGTGTTGTGGCCCCTGGTCACTGAGGTAGTGTGTTGTGGCCCCTGGTCACTGAGGTAGTGTGTTGTGGCCCCTCGTCACTGAGGTGATGTGTTGTGGCCCCTCGTCACTGAGGTGGTGTGTTGTGGCCTCTGGTCACTGAGGTAGTGTGTTGTGGCCCCTGGTCACTGAGGTAGTGTGTTGTG